CTCTGAAAATTTTCTCTCATATCAGACTTTGTAGAGCTTTTTTCGCTGATCATTTTAGTAAAAAAAAAAAAGTTTTTTAATTTTCATTGAGTAATGATGATGTTATAGTCAAAATACTAAATACTGTAATACATACTACATCTAATTACAACTGAACATACTAAATTCGTTGCTTTCCAAATAGTAATTATAGAGTTTTGTTCAGTTTTTTATGCTCTTTCATATGAAACAGTTGGAATTTAAAAACTTTTTTATTAGTTAATTAACTGTAATATAAGTATAAGTACTTGTTACCAAAATGCAGCGCATCAAATTCTGCGTCGAATGATATATAGAACATCTTTCAAATGTTGTGAAATAATAGCCAAATACTAAAAGTGTGCTAAACTTTTTTCCCTACTTTATATTACAGTATTTAGTATTTTGACTATAACATCGTCATTACTCAATGAAAATCAAAAAACTTTTTTCTACCAAAATGATCAGCGAAAAAAGCTCTACAAAGTCTGATATGAGAGAAAATTTTCAGAATATCCTTACGTAAAAACAAAAATGTACATGCTTTTTTGAGTCCTCATATTGTATGAAGCCGACAAAAAAAAATAAAACTTATCATTTCTGATTCATTTGTAATGAATGGATAAAGAAAATTACCTTCTGGTATTGTTTCAGGAATTTTATCAATAAAATCTTCTTTTTTTGGTTCATAATTTCTATCTTCAAGTATAGCTTGTTCCATTCCTATATAAATATAAATTATAAAAAAAAAACAAACAAAATCTTAATTTAATAAAGAAAACCTTTTTCATCTGTTTCATCTTCATCATCAATTGATTCACCAGCTTCAATTTTTCTTTGTCGTTCAGCTAAACGTTCATTACGTTGTTGTTCAGCAATTATTTTCATTTCTTCCATTCGTCGTCTATGAATATTAAAAAACAAAATAAAAATTATTCATTTTTCTTATTATACTTTTGTTCTTCATCTTGAATTCGTCTTTCATTTGCTTCATGTTCTTCACGTTCACGAATATCTTTATCAATTTCTAATCGATTTGTTTTATACCAACGTTTTTGTAATGCTTCTAATTGTGCATGACTATCTTGTAAAACAAGAACATCATCTGGATGAATATTTTTTTCATTTAATAATGTCCAAATTTCATTATCATATGGAAAATTAACAAATATCCAATTACCAAATCTTAAAAGAATTCAATAAAAAAAAATAAAAGAAAACAAATAAATTCAAAATTTATTTTACAATTGTCCATTAGGATTTTTTTCTCGTTGTTCTTGTTCAATATTTTGTATAGCTTTATGCATTAATTCAGCATAAACATCAGATGGTATATTAACAGTTGCATTACGTGCTTCTTCAATTGCTTGTTCAACAGCTTTTTTTACTTCAGGATGATCAGCTGTTATTTCTCCAATTGGTTCAACTTGTATTTTTTCATCTTCAGGACCTAAACCACGAAGATCTTCTTGAGGTACTTCAGTAGGCCGTGGTGAAGTCACAGTTGGCTGTGGTGATGAGCGTTCGGTTGTTTGTGGCGATGAACGTTCAGCAGCAGGTGGTGGTGATGTACGTTCAGCGGGTGGTGGTGACTGAGGTTGGGCTGATGTTGGCCGTTGTTGTTCTTCTTCATCAGGATTTGGAACTTTTTCTGTTTGTTCGAAATCATTTGGATCAGTGGTTGTTTCATTATCTTCTCGGGTTGTTGGTTCTAGTTCTTCATCTATTTTAGCATCAGTTTTTGATGTTGTTGCTTCTTCTGTTAATTTTTCTACAATAATAATAATAATAATAATATATGATACTACAAAAGTAAATCAAACAGATGCTATCGATACTTCTTTTAAATCTAGTTTTCATCGAAAGAGAGAAATAAGTATCGAAAACATTTTGTTCGAGTATTTTTCTTAAAGATTTATTCAAACCTGCAGCTTCTGTTTCAAGTTGTAATTGTAATTTTTCAATAGTTGATCGTTGAACTTCATTTTTAATATTGTCAATATATTGTTGACGAAGTTCATCCATTTTTGGTTGAGCATATGATATCATATCAATAACCTTTAGTTTGATTATTTTTTTTTTAAATATTTATTTAGTCTTTTTTTTGTTTATTTACTTACTGTTGCATTATATTTTTTAGCAATATCTTGTGCTAATTGTTCAATACCAGAAGATCGAGGACCATAGAGAAAAAGTTTACATGGTGCTCGTGGTTGAATTATATATCGACGAGGATTTTTTTGAAATTCTTTTAATGATTCTTTACTTGAAAGAACAAATATTTTATCCATAAAACTATAAAGAAATATTTTCGTTTTTTTTTGTGTATGTAAATAAATTTATATAAAATAAACATACTGAACAGCTAAATCTTGTCGACCAGGTATACGATTTCCTTGTTTAAGAGCAACTGGATCAAGACGTAACCATCGACTTCTTTGCCATTTATATTTATTTGATAGAACATTTGAACTTGTTAATGAAAGCATTAATTCTTCAGTTTCCATTTCATCAGCTGGTGCAGATTCTTCAGCACGTGGTGGATCATTACGAATAGCTTTTTCACCTTCTTCTTCTTCATTATCTAATAGAAGAAAAGATTTTTTTTTTATTTATTTTAAATTTTTTTTTTTTTAAATATACCCATTTCATTTGTTTCTTGTGGAATTTCTTCTTCTTCTTCTTCAGGTGGAAAAAACCGTTGAACAATTGTTGCACGTCTTAATGCATATGCATTAAGACGTTCAAGTAATTGTTCAAATAGTATTGTTGGTGACACATTTCCATCAAGTTCAACTAAATATGCTTGTGGTAAACTAGCCATATATTCTTCAAGCATTCTTAATAATTGATCTTTATAAAGTTGAATACTATCAGAAACATCAGGCATTAAATCTTCAGGTCGTGTTACTAATCGTTCAACAATTTCTGTTGGTACAGGTGAAAAAAATTCATCCTAGATATATTTATATATCATTTCAAGTTTGTTTATTTTTATTGAATACATACAGTTATTTGTTCTTCTTCTTCTGTTTCTTCTTCATCATTATCAGCATCTTCATCAATATCACTAACTTCATCATCATCTGTCTGTTGTTTACCAGTCTAAAGAAATCAATTTTTACGTTTTTCTAATTTTTCTTCAAAACCAAATTAAAATAATAGTGAAGAAATTTATCCCAAAATAGATAGAATAAAATAATTTTCCAGTAGTTTTTTTTTTTTGTATATTTTCGAAGACTTACTACTTTTTCGATGGGTGTAGGTGCATATTGTTGTTTAATATATAATGTACCAGTCATAGGATCGATTTTTTCTTCTTGTCGTCTATTAATTAAATCATTATCAGGTATACGAATATTAATAACATAATCTGGAGGTAATGGCCAATTTTTCATAGTTTCCATTTGATCACGTAATTTCATTAAATTTTCATCCATTAATGGAAATCCATCCAAAATATAACCTTAATAAAACAAAAAACAAAAGAATTTTTTTTTTTGTTTAATTATCTTTATACAAACCATGATGTGCTACTTCAGGTGAATGCATTTTTATATATAACATTCGTGCAATCATTTGATCTGGAACAGCTTCACCATGTACAAGTAATTCACGTGCATGCATACCAATTTCAGTTTTTTGTTTTATATTTGTTATTATAAGATCAGGAACTAAAACAAAAACAACAAAGAAAAATATTATTATGAAATAAATAAATAAATATAATTAACTATTAATAATTTCAGCATGCCAATCATCAGCTAACTTTTTTGCTAAAGTTGTTTTACCAACACCTGGTTTACCAACAATAAGAAAACATGTTGGTTTAGATTCAAGAAATTTCCTATCCGCCTATAATACAAACAAACAAAAAAAACATTATAATAATTGAAAAAGTATTAGAAAATCTTCTTATTCATTCTGAAATACAAAAAAAAAATATTTTCAGTATAAACGTGAGAATAATATGTCGTAAAAACTTTATAATCTCAGTTTTATAGATACGTTATGTGTAAATGTAACCAAGACGATACGAACTTTTCAGTTTATATCAATACAAAATAGTTTAATTAAAGCCTTTTGATTTATCTTCAACATCATCAAATAGGAACATATAGGATTTCATTTAATTTGATTTCTTTAACATGTTGACAATACCTTATTGTCGTACGACAGAATCTGATACTAACAATTCAAAGATTAAAATCTAGATCATAAATTCTTACTTCATCTACATCATAAGAATCATCTTCAAAAGGTGTTAATTGTTGATTTTTATCAGTAGTTTCCTTGTTAGATTTTGATATATTCTAAAAAACAAAAAATATTTAAGTTTTCAATATAATATTTTAATTATCATATACTAACATTAATTTCATATTTAGGTGGGTCACCATATTGAAATGAAGATTCTTGACGATTAGAAAAATTCTGTAAACTATTCCGAGGATCACTAATAGCCGATTCTTGATAATCGGTCATAGTAAACAATAAGGCACTTTTAATAATACACAAAATAAAATACTAAAAAAAAAAAAAAATCAAAGCAAACATCCGTAACCATCTTCTATTCTATCAATTGCTTAGAAACAACCTTTTTTTTTGTACATTTGTATAGATGTCGTTTTATTTTTTTTTGAATTTTCGAACGAATATAAATCTCTAACTTTTTTTTTATTTATTAAAAACAAAATAATATTTTTAAATTAATTTCCAGAAAAAAAAATTCTTCAATCAAAATTCTATAAAGCGTTCTTTGTCATTTGATTATGGCTATTCCATCAACAAATATAACAACACAACAATAAACAATACATATATTCAAAAAAAAAGGATTTCATTTTTTTTTGTCAAAGAAAAAAAAAATGTTTTTTTATTCTTTTGTTTTATTTTATTTGTTTGTATATGTTCATTAAATATATATATAGTACGCTTCATTTCATTATTTTGCGGTTTTGTTTTCATTTATTAACAAAATAATGACAACAACAACTGAAACTTATCATACAACATTTACAAATTCAACAATCAATAATAATGATGATCCATCATTAATTGTTGCTAATGTTACAATTGATGAATTAGTTGAATCATGTTGTAATGAAGTATTACCATCATCATCTAGTCAATTAAATAGCAGTAGTAATAGTGTTTCACCAACACATCTTGTTCGTTTTGTTCATTCACAATCATCACTTGTTAGTCAGATAGATGAAACAAATAATATACAACAAAATCCATCAAATATAATTATATCTAGTCATGATATACCATCTATTAAACAAACACCATATATTAATGTTATTAAACGTTTACCATCAACAATAAAACCAAAAACAATAATTGAGTCAACAAATTCAATGTATAATACAACAAATTTAACAAATATAACAGCTAATAATATAAGTGTTAATAATTATAATGTTAATATTCATACAACAAATGTTCCACAACAACAACAATCAATAATAAATAATGAACATTTAATTAAAAAATCAAATTCATATGATGAAAAACAAACAACTGAAATTGTAACACAAATATTAAAAAATATTAAAGAAGTTGATGAACAAACAACAACAACAACAAATTATAATATACATATTGATTCATTTAATTTTTCATCATCCATAAATGAACAACAACAATCAATAATAAATAAAAAATCACGTATTAAAAAAGAAGCTAAAGCTTTAACAAAAATTATTGTTAAAGATGATTTAATACAATCACCTATATCACCAAATTTTTTACGTACAAAAAAAACAATAAAACATCATCAATATGATAATACAAATATATTAATAGAATCTATACCGGTACCATATGGATGGCAAAGAAGAATATTATCTACAGATATTGTTGTTTATTTAAGGTAGTAGAAATTAGTTTTTTTTTTCTATTAAATAATATACTAATAATAAAATTTCAGAGTTTCTTCTTAGATGTTTTTTGTTTTGTTGCCTATAGGTACTTTAAATAGGTGTCGGCATTTTTTGAATAACTTTTTAATCGACTAATGTTTATCGAACTCTAAGGCGTTTTTTTTTACATGACTGTTTGTATACCGAATTCTATAAATTGACCTTGAACTATATCAACATATAGCTTGGTTCATCTTGTATATAATGTAAAATAATCTCGTTGAAAAAAAAAGCAAGGTATCACAGAGACATGGAAGTTTAACTATATGTAATCAGACTACAATATGATATAATTTGAGGTTAGTGAAAGTAGAAAACGAAAAACAGATCGAACTTAGAACTCAATAATCATTCAAAAAACAAAATGCAAATATCTGAAATCGTACAATAATATCACGTTAGAGATATGTATATAGTCTAAGAAAAATTTTCTAACTCGTATATAATTATTTGATTTGCATTGTAATAAGTGAACAATTCTAATTTAGTGAGCTTCATTTTGTATGATTTAGATATTTTTTGTTTTTTAGTCCAACTAATACAATACTCGATTCATTAGATGCTGTACGTCATTATATTGAATCACCAACATCATGTAAATGTGGTCTTCAATGTCCACTTATTATTGATAAGGTTTTATTTTTTTTAATATAAAGAAAAATGTTTATAGAAATTAAAGTAATAATTTTGTTTCTATGTTTAGGTATTTAATTTTGATCCAATGAAAAAATCAAAATCTTGGGAAGTTGTACAAGTTCTTGAAGGTACACATTGTCGACAAAAATCAAATATATTAGAAATGGCAACATTAACAAATTGTATTGATTCATTTTGTGAAACTGAACAAAAACCAGGTTTATATATATATTGAATTTTTTTTTTTTTGTAATATTTAAATTTTTCTTATAGTTAAACGTCGAAAACGTATATATAATGAATCAACAAATGGAAATGTATTTGTATGTGCTTCAAATTTAATTGGAAATAGTAATAATAATAATAATGAATCAGTTGTTTTTGTTAATAATACCGATCAAATATCTGGTATAGAAAATAGTCAATCGATGACATGGACACCAATACAACAAACAAATATAACTCCACCATCGAAACGACCACGTGGTCGTCCACGTAAAACTACAGTAACATCACCAATAATTACACATCTTGCTGCTAAACCATCAAATGATACATATCAAACACAACCTGTACCATCATCAATACTTTCTCCACCAGCATCTGTTTCATCAATATCACAAACAAATTTTGTTCATAGAAATTCAACATCACCATCAACAATATTTCATCAAACAAATAATATACGTCATATTAATGATAATATATTAACTCCACCAATTTTATCATCTTCAACAACAACAACAGATACAAATGTTATTGCACGTGTTCCATCAATATTTGATCAAGTTAAAACAGCTACAAATGAATCAACATTTGCTGTATTATCAGGTGTACAAAATGTTTTATTATCACCTAATCGTGATTCAAATAATAATGATAAACGTTTACATGTTGATTCTAATTCATCAATTGTATCTACAACAGGCAAACAGGTATAAGAAAAAAATTTCGAATTTCGAATACTTAACAGTTACATAGAATCCTATAGCAAGCAACTATCCGAATCCTAGAATTTCATATAAAAAACAAAAGTCTTCATCAATAAAAAAAGTCATCCAAATTTTTAGTTATTTGTCATAGTTACTCTAGGAAAAGTAATTTGAAATTTGGCAAGGAGACAGATTTTAATAAGATATGTTGTAGATGTAAAATAGACAATAACAAAATAAGGAATCACTGCATTTCGTATGAACTTTCCTTGCGGACTTTTAGAACATCCTGTAGATAACGAAAAAAAGTGATTTTGATAATAAATTTATGTTTTTCTGTTAAGGTAACTTTAAATGTTAATGCTCTAAAATCAGATTTTGTTCGTTCAACATCTTCTAATTCAAAATCATCATTATCAAATCAAATTGATGTTATTTCATTAATGGGTACAACAAATCAAAATCAATTAACAATTCCAAAAACATCAACTATGGTTACTATACCATCAACAACACATGATGAATATATATCAATTAAATCTACAAATGAACAAATTAATGAATCAACACAACCATTAATGATTGATTTTAATGATCCATCAACAACAAATTTTCTTTTATCAGCACTTGCATCAGGTGCATCATCAGATTCAAATGCAATTGTTAATCATCTTTTTCAAAAAGCTCAAACACAACAACAACAACAATCAACAACAATAAATTCTCCAACAATATCAATTCAAAAAAAAACTTTACCAATTATTTCATCAAATATAAAAAATTGTACAGAAACAACAAATTTATTACCATCAATACGTCAATCAACAGTTGTATTACATGTACCAACAACAAATGATATTAATCAACAAACACAACAAATTATATTGAATAATAATAATGATGATAAAAAACAACAACATCAACAAATATTTTTTATTAATAATAAACCATATATAATTCAACAAAAATTAACTCATGAACAATCATCACAACAACGATTAATTCTTACACCATCAATATCACAATCGAATGGTTCGTTTTAAATTGTTTTTCTAAAGATAATCTTTTATTTTTATTTTTTTTGAACTATTTCATACAATCGATTTTCTTGTAAACATTTAAATATTCTGAAAGTTTTAGTCTAAAAGAAATATATTCTTCTTAAAATATTAAAATAATCATATACCATAAGACAAAATAAGAAATCCTAGTATTTTCCAACATTCGATATCTAAATGACAAAAAAAAAAAACATAAAATCAGTAAACTTATAACAAATAGCAAGTCTTAATAAGTTTTTATTAGTCTCGTTAGAGTATATCTATATTTGATTGGCGTGTAAAATATTAAATTTTAACTTTCTATTCTTTGTTTTTTTTTAAGAAACATCTCATTCAAATCGAAATATTGTTAATATTAATAATAGTAATACATGTATTCAATCAACACTTGATGATGGTGGTAATTGTCTTTTATTAAATGGACCTGTTGAACCTAAAACACTTCGTACATTACTTAAAGGTTTAAATTCATCATCATTTTCTGGTGTTGATAATTTAATTGATACAATAAATCGTTTTGAACATAAAACAACAACAACAACAAATGAAAAAAATGATAATCTTTTAATAAAATCAATTCGTACAACAAAAAAATCAATTGATACAAATAAAACACCAATAAAACGTCGTGCAGCTAAAAAAATTAAACAAGAAGAACAAATTTCAATATCACAACCAATTATTGTTGAACAACAACAACAACATCAATGGCAAACAGATTTTAATACATTTGATTTTTCAACATCATGGGGAAGTGATACAAATCTTAATTCACTTTTACTTAATGATGATTTTGATACAGCTGCTTCATTTGATGATGTTAATTTTGGTGATTTTGAACCGTATATGAATGGTAATAATAATAATGATATAACATTACCATCATTATTTGTTAAACCATTACCACCAGATAGTTTATCAAATCTTGATCATTTATTACCTTAGAAAAAACTTTATTTATTTATTTTTTTGCATATTGTGATATTCTATTATCTAAACATACATACTTTTGTCATCTCAGGATGCTTGAGTTTATATGTATATAAAAAAATATGCGTTTCTTTTTGCTGTAGTTATGTAGCTTAAAATAAAAAAGAAATTTCTTTTTTTTTGTTGATCTGAAACTTATATATTGGTGTGTATGAAATCTTATACTTCTTTGTTGTGTCTTTTTTTGCCTCTAGTCTCTTGCTCGAGTGCGCGCGCGCGCGCGCGCGCTTTATTTATATATTTTTTGTTGTTGTTGTTGTTTGTACAGTGTTTTGCAATATCATACACATCGAAAAAATTCAATGTATGTTTGTGCCTTTGTCTCCACTTTGAATGATATTTTGTGTTTCAATTATTATGATTATTAATTGTTTTTTTTCTCTCTTTTTTGTGTGTGCCGTGTTGTTACAAAAAAAAAATTTTTTGTTTTTTGCGATGATCTGTTTTGTTTCTTTTTTGTATTTGCACAGACAAATGATTGACTCATTTTTTGATTTGTGTGTATTTCAATTTATGAAGAATAATGGACTTTTCTTTTTTTTTGGAAATGTTTTTGGAGATATTCTCGATTTGTTTTGTTTCTTTTTTTTTGATTTTCTACAGTCGTTTTGAATTCGAATACGACATAAAAAGAAAAACAAAATTTATTGTTTTCTTTTTTTTCTAGCGAAAGAAAAAGTTATTATTATTATTGTTGTTGTTTGTTTTGTTTGTTTGTTTATAGCTGAGAATTTTTCTTCGAAGTGATTTCTTGTAAGATATATAATGTGGAGAAAGAAGATTTTATCATGATTTATTTCTTGCATTTTTATTTTATTGTTTATAATTCTAGATGGGTAACGGAATAACAGTTAATAAAAAACAATTACCCGGTGTTCCACAACCACCTGGTGCACGTAAAATAGTTGTTATTCCTTATCAAAATTGGATTCATTATGATGCACGTCGTTTTGGTCATTTTAATCAATTTAGTACTGATATTAGTTGTGAAATATCTTCAAACACTAATAATAATAATAATAATAATTACAATACCATATCATCTGTACTACCATCAAATTCATTTTCATCTCCTTCATCATTTGTATCAACATCATTATCATTAACAAATGATTTTATTATTCAAACTAAAACACAATTAATATCAGCATCTGTTCCATCATCTTTAACATTTTCAACTAATAAAACAAATATACGTAATAATAGTAATAATAATAATAACAATAATAATAATTCACCAATATCAACATTAGTTGGTTCAACAATGACTTTATCAAATTCATCATCAACAGTAACATGTTCATCAACAATATCATCAAATGATTATGATTCACGTCGTTTACATCCAAAACCAATTTATTATGTTAATGGACGATTTTTTAAAAGTTTAACACGTCTTGGTGATGCACAATTTATATTAAGTGAACATGGTGAAGATGATATTATATTAACAGTACCATCAAATATTGAACGTTATCGTACAAATGATAATACTGTACGTGATCGTATACATCGTTTAAATCGTGTTATTGCATGTTGTGATGAATTTATTGTCTTTCAATTATGGAAAGGAAATAATGAAGTTGAAATATTTCTATTTGATCGACCTATACCACCAATAGAATTATCAAAAATAAAATCATCTACAAAATGTACATGTTTTCATCGACGAACACGACAATCAAAATCAACATTAATATCACAACAAGAACAAACATCAAATCCAACAAATTCAATACCATCATCATCAATGAATGAATCAATAACACGTGTTAATCGACATAGTTCTTTAATGCAAACAGCAACATTAAGTGCTTATCATACAAGTGAACCACAACGTTCACCAATTAAATCATGTTCATTATTAAATAATAAAGAAAATCATGATGATATTAAAGATGATACATATGAATTTGTTGATAATACAAAAAAAGCTTCTTATTTAATTGGTTCAGCTCGATGTACATTGGTAACTGCTTCAGCTACTATTGCTGCTAATAATACTAATGCTAATACTAATAATATAGCAATAACATCGACTACGTCGAGAGCCCGATTTGGGAAATCGGCGAGTCGGTGAGTAATTTGATTTATTTTTGTTTTACTGAAATACGATATTCAATGAATATAACATAAAATTTATAAACAAAGATTCATTCAATTCTACAATTTGAATTGAAATGTTGAAAGAAAAATATTAGCTCAAATTCTAATTCGATAATTTATTAATGATTTTATTCGTTAAGGAAAACTATTCAACTAACTAGAAAAATCATAAAAGAGTTCGTGGTCATGGATATCTAAAACCTAAAAATTTTGATCGACAAGAATATTCATTTGTCGAGATATTGAATTTTCAGCAAATAATTTCTGGCTATTGACATACTCCACAAAAATCAAATTGCCTTGAAAATTCAATGTTTGGACAAAAGAGTATTCTTTTGAGTTACAATTCGAGTTGTTCTCTCATAAATAAATATTTAGTAAAATATCAAACTTTCAATTAAGGTTATGTTCATTGAATGAGTAATAGAAAAGTCTCGACTGGTTTGAGTTTTTTTGTTCTTGGAATATTGAAGTTTCATTAAGTTTTTAACTAAAAGCTGTGATCACGTGAAAAAATCGAAACAAAGTTCTTAATGAAATTAGTTACTTGTACAAATTTTAGATTTTCTATTATTTTCTTGTTGGAGATAAACGAAATTTACTTTTGTAATATTTCAAGAACATTATAGATTTTTCTATTCTTCATCATCTCAATCGAAAAGCGATTTCATATTTTGAGAAATTTTCTCGTAAAGCTATGTATTTCTTTTTGATTTTAATGCATTCGCATCTTACAACAGTATGATAGATGATAAACTAACTAACTAACTTTTCTTTATAATGTTTTACTAACAAATTATTTTATTTTATTAAAATAAAAATTCTAATAATTTATTTAGTTCAACTATGTCAAATACACGTTCATATTCAATATCAAATGCTCATGAATTAGTAAATAATAAAAATCAACAAAATTATTTAATTGATAATTCAAAACATCGTTCAACACCCTATCTATCATCATTATCATCATCTTCATGTACTTGTACAGATAGTGAAGATTCTATTTCATTATCATCATCATCTTCACCAACATTTTCTTTATCATTATCATCATCAACATGGAATAGTCGTATTGTTCGAAAACTTAATTCTGTTGCACATCGTTTTAATGCACGATCATATACTTGTTTAATATCACCTGATCGAACAAAATTATTAATTACACCTGATTATGAAGATAAACATTCATATAGTCATCAAACACATGAAGTAACTGTTATTTTTGATATTAAAACTTATGTCATACTTCGTATAACACCAGCTCGTAAGTTTTAAAGAAAGAAAAACAAAAAAAAAAAAATCAAATTTTATATTATTTATAATTTAGGTTATGATCAACGATTTTCATTTGATCCACGTTATGGTCATTCACGTTTAGCAGAATTTGATACAGTTCGTGGTCAAATAACTGATATTAAAAAAGATCGTGTACTTGTTTGTTCAAATCATACATTAAAAACAAAAGTTTATCGTGTTGAATATACTAATGATGGACATCTTATTATTGTTTTATGCACACGTAAGATATATATATAGAATTCTTAATTGAGATATTATTCCATGCAAAAGCATCAAATTAAATATAATATATATGTAGTGATGACACGATTGGAAGCTGTAACATCTTCACAATTCATATCATTAGGATACAAGAATTCATCTCATCGAACATTTCATACGATAGAGCTTAACATATTAAATATAATCAGAAAATGTTGATCTTAACAATAACTCTCAACTTAAAACTATATGTGATTAGTAAAGATCAATCAATTTTCAATTCAAAGTTCAGAGCGAAAAACTGTTCGAACAGTTTACATTCTATCACAAATCTCTTCAGACAATTAAGTAATAGAATAAAAGTTACATATACTCGGAAATATCTTTCTTAAAAATAGAGCAAAT